CCTTGCGAAAGAGATTTAGAGACTGTAATATAATAAATTTGGAGTACACTCTCTCTCTCTCTCTCGGTCTCTCCTTCTCTTAATCTATTTTCTAAAAGGGCGTCACTTTCCAAAAGATGCGCCGGTTCTCGTTCTCTTTGACGTCGACGTAACGACGCGTCAGCGAGAAGGTCAGGCTGCATCGCTTCATCTTAGGAGCGCAATTACAAAAGTTTCCCTTTTAACATTAATTAATGAGAGAGTCCGCCGTACCGTACTTCATTATGGCGCTATCCATTACGGAGGCGGCCTCTTCTCTCCAAGTTGGGCATGCTTTCAATTCTCCCTTGGGAGAAAGATCGTGCCAAACTGATTTACGAAGAGCGATTGACTTTTTTTTTCCTCTCCTCCTGCATAAAGTTAACCCCGTTAACCATAAAGATCCACCGTCACGAATACGTCTCGATCCGCGAAACGCGCGATTTTGATACGCGGATCACGCAAGAAGTCGATATTTCTCGAAATCGATCACTGGTTAAGGTATCTTGCAACTTCTGGAATTCGCTCACGTCCTTCTTGGTGGAAAAAAAACGTAAGTAGACCGACGCGCGTTCATTTCAGGTATTAAAGGACGAATAATCATACGTGTTGCGCCAAATTTTGTACAATCCCGAAAAGGAGTAAATCGCAAAGGATCAATTCGGAGAGAAGAGACCGCCTCCACAATGGCTTTGAACTCGTGTTGCGATTCTATTTACGACGTAATAAAGCGCGATATGATTTTAATTCTGTTATCATTGATTGCATCAAAAATTTAAAACAATTACGTATATCATGCTACTTTTACGCATCTAACAATAAAAATCATCCTGAACGGATCATCCATGGAACGAATTCGCGCACAAGCGTGCAAAGGTCGGCGAAAATTTAATTTAATAACATTATAATATATCTCGAGGAAGATGATATACGGGCCTGAATAACACGTACCGAAACATTTGCGTTTACATTCGAATGGATGACGCGTTCAATCGGTTACCGGTTCGCCCACAGATTTCGACGCATTCGCCAAATACGGCGCATCGAAGTCGAACTCGAGGAGTCGCGTACATCCAGTTTCCCGCCCACGCCATGACCCGACGTCGCTTTTTACGGGAAACACGAACACAGACGGGCGTCATACTTTCGCTCCTTAAGTGAAATGGTGTCCATGGATGCGCGGTGTATTTGAGAACTTTTTCCAGACCGATCGTGATAACTGGATTTTTGCATTTCATAGGAGAAGTATGTCAAAAATTTTTTAAATAGAATGCAAGAATTGTATCTATCGTAAATCTATATTTTTCGAATAAGACAAAATGCCATTATTTTTAATGATTATTTGATTCCAATTTTTAAATTCTTTTCTAGATGACTATAATATAGATATAAAACATTTTCGATAACATTGACGTAATCTTTTTTGCACTATTTACTATTCTTTTAGAATAAAAAAACAAAACGAGTAGTACGCAATTACTTTCAGTTTTTAAATTATGGTAATTATTAAATATAGAAAAAAATGACTCCAACGGAAAATAATGATTTTTTTCTGTATAAAAATATTTCTGTTAAGCTTATTATAGTCCGTAGATAATATCTGTTATTTATGGATTGTCTATAGACTATCTATAGACTGTGTTTTCCATTCTTACTTGTCGTGTGTCCTTAACAAAATTTAAAATTGTTTTATTCGATAATATTGAATATGAATATTTCTTTATCGCTAATCTTTCATACTTAAAATAAAATTTACAAAAGCTTTATGCAAGAAGTTTTATTTGCAGATCTTTTAGCTGCAGATTTGCAGATATCGATTTATTTCGAACGAAAGATAACAGATATTATTTATATGTATTAAATTATATGTGAAAAATTATTATATATTTTTTTTTCAGGAAAAAATTTGAATTACCTAAAACTAATTAAGTGCTTAAATCTCGTTTAAATCTTTATTTTATTAAATTTGTCTTGATGAGTATAACATGTATTGAAGGCAATAGACAAATCGAAAAAATAAATTAGTGACATTCTCACGTAAAGTAAACATATAATTTACTGTGCATATATAAGTTGGAGGTTTTTTGTAAAGAGAAACGTCAATCTTTTCACGAAAGAATTTAACTTTTTTAAATTTAGCAAGATTTTATAGAAACATTAATGTTTCTTAAACTTATAAAAATAAATATTTTTTGTAAAAAGATTAAATTTAATCGAAAAATCTGCGTCTATAATATGTAATATATTAAAACACATCTATATAATATATAAAATTTCACGATTTTTTCCTCATACAACTTCGTTATTGTAAATATTATTAAAGATTAAATAATTTTGCACGTATAAATTAAATATATAATAATAATATTAAATCTTTTTAATTTCTTTCATTTTTATTTCATATATTTATTAATTATTTTTTATTATATATTCTTATTAGTCACTTCTTTATGTAACATGTAATAAATCTTCGGACGCTATTATACGATGTCATCCGACCCGTAATGTCTCGACGATTGCAAGCTTTGTTCGTATAATGACACATTTCATTACACATGTATACTAAAATCACCGTAAGAAACAAGCGTTCATTAAAGTTAATAAACGTCTGTATGTTTAAGTGTACGCGTGAGCATTTTTTCAATGAGCGAGACACACCTCGCACATTGTTGACGTCGAGTTTATGTCTCGACATAAGAGTGTGTTAATATTTCGATTAAATGAGAAAATTGTTCGCTCGATTTACTTTGGAGGACATATACAGCAAAAAAACATAAATATGAATGACTCAAGCACAAGCATGAATGATTTAAAAATATTTGATGTGTGGCGTATCTGGAGGTTCTTACTTTTTATATGTTTTTTTAGAGTCTACCTAAAAGTAATCGTACAATTGACACAGTGTCTTATAATTTAAGCGATGCCTCGCTGTCGCGCTTTTATCCCGATAAGTCAATATTTACCAAATATAACAACCAAAGACACTTAGCGTCTTTCATGGTCGGAAGCTTTACCTCACGATCAAATCGTAAATTTTTGTCTATTTATTTAGATCGCGAGAAGGAGAAATCACACAACTCTCCCGAAACTCTAAAAATATTTGTATCAATCGCGTTTTATAATTCGACGTACAATGATATATTAATCTCTTAAATGGAATCAGTGTATTACTAAAGAGAAGTGATTTCAGTTATAGTATTGCAAACAATAAAATCTCACTGAAACCAATCAGTTGATGATAATGGCTAATTCTTTAATGAAATCTTATTGCTAATAATCAGTAAAAGAGAATAAATGGTCTGTATTTTCACTAAAATACTCATTCATCTTTGTCGAAATCTTGAATCGATGACATTTCCATTAATTCAGTAAAAGAGGTAAGCAATATAAAGTATTCATATCATATATAATTTTCGCAATCAGCAACTAAATAATTTATATCTCGCATAACTGTGCGGTCATAAAATACGTCATGTGTGTGATAGAAAGACAGATAGGCCATCTATTTCCTATCAATGAGAGTCCGTTTGTAGCAATCAACAAGACAATTGCTCCTTTTAAAATCGCGGCTCGTTAGCCTCATCTTGCCGCAACTGTCTCCAATCGTCTCTAAATAATGGACATTGGCGACACTTGTCCGTCACTCGTCCGGTTACGAGAGACACACCAGCTACAAGCTTCGTCGTACTTTTGTAGCCTACGTCATCGCTCGCTTTACATCATGGCATCACGATGGACCGGTTCTGCGAAGGTGCTCCCACCATGCGATTTCTCCGTCGCGTTCGCGACGTTTGTTCGTCGTTCGCAATTTTTCTCATTGCTAAACATTCAAAGAAGAAGAATAATATTCGCGCGCATGAATCATTGCGCGTTGCTTATATAGAAATAAGTATCAAGCACACTCTTCTCGAGTCGCGCGTAGAATACCACGCCTTTACGCCCATAGTTTCCTCTTTTATTCTCTCTCTTGTTCGATCATATTTTTCCACATAACGACGTGATTTGTACGTGTTATATTATTTGCGATTAAATTGCAATAATTTTTTGCCATTTGTCCTCTATAATAGAAAATATTGACGCTATTACAAAGAAGAGAATCATCGTACGATTGAAGCAATAAAAGTTTATTGTAACAGAATTTAATTGTAAAAGTTTCATTTAAATATCCGCAATCCGTTTGATGCGTTTTGCACGGGTTAATCTGCGTATGGTGGGGAGTTTGATTCGGAATTTTATCCGCGTTACAATGCGTACGAGAAATCAACAGGTGTACGCGTGCACACCGATACAGGGAAGATAAAAAGACTACATCCTGCGTTTACGTGTGCGTTACGTAACCGCGTGCCGATGTGCGCACGTGCGCACGAAGCGCGTCTATGTCTACAAGTTGGCGTAACGTTAAATATCATCGAGTAACTTTCATTTTTGCGCTGTGCAAAGCTGCAATGAAAAATAGTTGTCACGTCATCGCATGATGTTACAATCAATTCGATTGCTGAATGTATGTAATATTTTTATTTCATATCCAAGAGTTGATAGTTGAATATTTCCCGTAGTTTTTCGCGGCTTATCGCGCGAGCGCTGAAATTCCATTTGCTCGCTTTATTGGAATTCGACATTGACATGTTCGCGATCGGCGTTATCGTCGTACAAATATGCGCGTGACGAAAAGACATCGTCAAGTAAGCAAGACGAGGAAGACGAGGAAGGACGGGCTATAATGTACCGTGCAGAGTAGCATGCAGAGCGACATAACATATACACCTGGTCGGCAGTAGCGATGTGTACGCATCGTCCGCTCCAAAACACGTTACCGTGTTACCGGTCGTACATAACGAACGTGAATACGTCCCACGACGCACATCAGCATCGTGTGGGACACACGGATGGGTGGTAACGTCCCACGCCGGGTCACGTATGAGCGTACGTGTGCAGAGGTTCCGCCGCGGCGCGAAAAGTAGGGATACCGGTGTTCTCCAGACATAAAAGGTCCATGGTCCGTGTATGTCAGTGTCAGTGAGAAAGAGAGAGTGTGTGGCACGACGGAGAAGCGTGTGGTTACCTAGATCAGCGACGGCGAGTCACCGCCGATGCCACATCGACTCGCGATATCGAATCGAAAACATCGTCGCTCGTATATACGCGGATTTGGAGTCATCTCGACTGTACTTCTGACTCGAAGGAAAGATAGAGGGAGAAAGGGAGAGAGAAAGAGAGGGAGGTTTGCGTCCGAGCGTGAGCGAGAGGCACGCGAGCAAGGAGCTCGTATTTGACGCGAGCGAGAAAGTTCCGAGGTTCGTGTACAGAAGAAACGAGTTTGTAAACGAGGCCGGTCACAGCGGAGCTTCAGTCCTCGATGAGCGACACACGCGAACGCTAAAGTTGCAGTGATTAATCAATCGTATGTGTGTGTTTTGAAAACGTTTTTTATTGCATTTACGACAATCCTCCGATTCTTCCTGTATGAAAATTACTAAGTAAAGTAATCGAACTGTGGGTGCGATCGGAAGAGGGTCGCGATGACTATTCACAAGAAGGGGGCTGTATCAAGGACGAAGAAGGAGACCGCGAAGAATGGAGTGGCTACCACATCCTCGACCGAGGTTGTCTCCTCAACCAGCGTGGTCGAGGAGTCGAGACAAGTAACGGAGAGCGAAGCCAGAAGTAGCACGACAGAGGTCACGAGCACCAGTCGCGAGATCGTCATGGATTCCAAAGGTAACGTAATCAAAGTTATCGAAGCATCTCCGCAGACGGCTCAGCAGAGCACGTCCGCTTATAAGACCGGGAAAAGTTCTCAGGATTTTATAGCCGGAGAACAGACACAATTGATTAAGCAAGCGAAGACGACGCACGAGATCCCACGCGAGGACGCGAAATCTCTTTCGGAAAGTCATATAGCTCGAGGAGAATCGTCTGAACGGATCGACCAATCCGTACAGATGCAAACTCAAAGCGAATCTCGCTCGACGACTCAACAATCCATCTCCTCGAGCACTTTAATCGAGAGTTCATCGACGAGCGAGGATCACAGCGGACATCGGCGATCCACTGTCGTGCAAATCAAAAACGGAGATCGTGCTCCTGTAACTCAAACGTCACGAGCGACCGAAAGTACCCGCGCGAGCAGCGAATCGTGCGAAACGGTAACGAAAGACGGTCAAACGATATCGAATAAAACGAGAATTCGCGAAACGGAGGAAAGAATCGATGAAAACGGTAAAGAGGTGTCCACGTCGAGCCGGGAGGTCGACAGCGAGCGTACCATCGCACCTTCCAACGTGACAGTCATTAAAAGTATCGACGATGGCGTTGATAAGAACACTCGCGGTGCCGATGCGAAATCAAACATCGAGATATCGACTCGCTGTTACAAACCCGGCCAATCCGCGTGGGACGGCACATTCGTTTATGAGAAGCCCGCCGCTCCTAGAGGTAAGAATGTCGTCGATAAAACGGTATCCGTGAGTTCAAAAGTTCACGGTGACGCGCGCGACAGCGAAACGAGCGTTAAAGTCACTCAAGCGACTTCCACGACCGAGGGGGTTATCGATCAGATCTCGTCCTCGAGCACGACCGTGATACGAGATTCGAAAACGATCACCGACGAAGGTCAACTATCCGCGACGACTCGTCTTCGCGATACCGCGTCGGGGAAAGTCATCGCGGACACGATGGATTTTGCCGGCAAGGAGAAACATTCGAAAGGACCGGTTCGTTATTCGAGACTCGGCGATTCGGCATGGGACGGGAGGTTTGTCATGGAGAAAACTACGCAGCCGAGACGACGTAACGATTCCGACACCATAACATTTCGCGGAGACAACGTCGCGGAAACGATCGAGAGGAAAGATTTTCGCGAAAAGAGCGTGGACGGTACGTATGAAAAGGAGTCATCCGAGACCGTGCGCGTTGTAAAAGGTGCCGCAGATAGCACCAGATTCATTTCCGAGGAACGACATGATGTAAGTAGAGAAAGTTCAACTCGTATAGATGATACATCGTCGAGTAAGGGAGAACGTCCTGCTCGCGTATCCAGTCCGTCTCGTCGAAGACCAGCTAGACCCGGCGATTCCGCGTGGGACGGTAAATTTGTTTACGAAAAATCAGAACAAGACGACGCGAAAAAGCGTTCTCCGACAGACGTCACTGTCGTTCGACGAACCGAGAAACGTCACGACTTTGTGGACGTTGAAGATGTCACCGAAGAACAGAACGTATCCGAGTCGGTTTCCTCTTCCTACATTGTTGAATACGCAATCTCCAATGACAAGAAGAATATCGAGAAAGTTACATCGGTGTCCGAGGTGATTCTGGAAGAAGACAACATTGAAGATAAAACGCGTGGTCCAGGAAGCCCCGAAAGACAATCGAAACGAGACGCGGCCTCGCGCTGCTATAAACCTGGCCAGTCTGCTTGGGACGGCACCTTTGTCTACGAGCAACCGAAGACGCCTGATAGTCGTCGAAAGCCGGAAGACAAACGTACAGTGAAGACTGTCGATATTCGAGATGTTACGGGAGATAACTCGATCAATGAAGCTGATGTTACAACTACCTCTTACATCGTCGAACATTCGTCGAGTCAACAAAGCTTCTCAGATGTCAAGGATGCCAGTCTCACGTCGACGATTTACGAGACAGTCGTTTATGAAGGACGACCTGTTGAAATGACGATTCGATTTGACAAGGATACAAGCCAAGTCTCGAACATCAAGGAACGTCAGCCTAGTCCCTCTCCGCGTCTTACAACTCCCGAGAAGACGTCCAAGGACAGAGATTTGCGAAGCACCAAACCAGGATCGTCCACATGGGATGGAACTTTTGTGCTGGAGAAATCGCAAGAGAAAAAACGACCACCTAGCAGAGAATCCACCGATGGTAGACCACCGGAGAAAGCTCGTCCAGTTGACAGCAAAGAGACATCCATGACCACGTCGAAGAAACATGTCAGCGACACTACCATCGATCTTCGAAACATCGCACAGGATGTATCTAGCACATCGGAGACCGTCATTGTGGAGCAATCGGAAACGCATGAGAGTTACACGGATTCGTCGAATCTCGATCTCTCGACGACTTCCGTCGAAACTGTCATCATTCGCGATGGTCAACCGGTAACGACGCAAAAAACGGTGACTACTATTCAAGAAGGATCGGCAAAGAAGCCGTCTGGTTATGACGTGATCGCCGACGTTAAGAAGAGTACTGTTAAAAGTCCCGAGAAAAAGGAGCCTTATACGGACGACAGAAGTTATCGGCCTACGAAACTAGGCTCGTCGACGTGGGATGGCTCGTTCGTGTACGAGAAATCAGAAGAGAAGAAAAAGATATCGAAGGATAAACATATTGGAATTGATAAACATAGTCCGACTAAAGAAAAACCGGCCAAAATAACCGACCATAAGACAGTTACAATATTAGACACAACAAGCGCTGCTGATTATTCTACAAGTTCTACTACTGTCGAACAAAGCTTCGTTACCGATTCAAAGACATACGACATATCGAAAACTTTCATCGAGGAAAGCACGGAGGATAAAGTGCACGCGATCGATTACAAGACACCGAGACAGCCCATCGACGAGAAACCTAAACCGTCACCGCGACAGCGTCCGGAGGATGTTAGGAAGCCTGGAGATGAAGAACCGCGGAAGAGTCCGATGGATAGAACATATCGACCGTCTAAGCCAGGCGCCTCCACCTGGGACGGTTCTTTCGTGTACGAAAAACCGCAGGACTCGCGAAAGAAACCAGCAGGCGTAGAAGCGATCGAGAAGCCGAGAAAATCGCCAGATGAGAAATCTGAACCGGCTCCGATCTCCCGAAAAAAGCCGGATGAACGTCCGGAGGATGCTAAGAAACCTAGAGATAAAGAATCGCAGAAAGGTCCGGCGGACAGAACATATCGACCGTCAAAGCCAGGCTCTTCCACTTGGGACGGATCTTTCGTATACGAGAAACCAAGAGGGAAACCCGGAGATAGAAAAGTACCGAAAGATACTCCCGAAACTACGGATAAGCGGAGCCCGATTAAAGAAAAACCGAGCGACATCACCGATCACCGAACGTCTGTTACGATATTGGATACTTCGAAGGATCTAACAAGCGCTATCGATTATTCTACGAGCTCTACCCTCGTTGAACAAACTTTTGTCACCGATTCAAAGACACGTGACATATCGAAAACTTTCATCGAGGAGAGCACGGAGGATAAAGTGTACATGATCGATCACGAGACATCGAGACAGCCCACCGACGAGAGGCCTAAACCGTTGCCGCGACAGCGTCCGGAGGATGCCAAGAAGCCTGGAAAGGATGAAGAACCCCGGAAGAGTCCGGTGGATAGAACACATCGACCGTCGAAGCCAGGCGCCTCCACGTGGGACGGTTCTTTCGTGTACGAAAAACCGCAGGACTCGCGAAAGAAACCAGCAGGCGTAGAAGCGATCGAGGAGCCGAGAAAATCGCCAGATAAAAAACCGGCACCGACACCGATCCCTCGAAAAGAACCGGATGAAACGACACCGCGGCGAGATGTCACCGAGAGCCGCTATATCGAAGACGTCACTGATATCACGCGCGAGGATATCACGCGCACGTCCGAAGCGGTGCAGCGATCCTCTTACGTAATCGATCAGTCTTCGAGTTTTACTTCTGTGCAAGACGAGCGTGTCATCACTGATTTTACGACCGACGTACGCAAGGATGTGGTGAGTAACTATGACTATGAGGCATTAAAATACTTTTTTATTACCTGTTCCGCTGTTGGAAATTTTTACTTAAAACTGCGCATTATTCTCTGAAATAATATTTATAAAAAGCGGATATACATATTAATTCTCTTTTCGTATTTATTTCGAGAAAAATATAGAGAAATAAGTCAAATTTTATATGCATACTTTTATATATATTTGATGACTTTCACATATATTTGATGATTTTATATCTAACATCTCGTAATTGACGTTAGCCAGATATCGGGAAAAATAATAAAAATCTTACAGAGAGACACAGTTTGAGTTTAGTCCTTGCTCGAACGATACTTTCACTTCCCATTCGAAGGCTAGTAAGTCCACGTGTGTGGCGCCGTCGAAAATAAATCTGACGTAATACAACGATCCGCAGCGGGATAGAGGAGAGTCAAGTGTATAGGAGAAGGAGGGAAATTTGTTTTGTTTAATCATCTGATCGTGAGACAGACAGCGATGCGTTTCTGATCCGAATTTCTACACGACCGAATCCTGATTCGTCGAATTAATACAAAGCTTTGAGCGAAAATCGATTTCACACATGGAAGCACGCTCGGAACCTATCGTGCCTCAATCATTATACATATTATACATATATATTATAATTATTTTACATTATCTCAATACGCGCAGAAATTTACGTCGCATTCCAATAATATTATCATTACTAACACGAAAAATCGACGCGATAACCTTTGCTTTTTATTAAACACAAAGTGGACTTTGATATTCATACGTAATTGAAGCATTTTTCTCTCTCCTCCTCATCTTTAAGAAAATCGTCCACACCTTTTAGCGTAATTATTTTAAAAGTCAGGTCAAACTAAAATATTATTATATAATATTATATGATATTATAGAAAATAAAAATAAAATTAAAATAAAAAAATTATGCTTTGAATAAAGCAGTGGAGATATCTTGAATCTACTCTATCGATCATTGTATTCATTAAAGAGAATGCGTATAGAGAAAAAATGATTACGATTACCGCTGATAAGAATCCTCGAGATCACCTCTGGCGTGTGCCACGGGCACACAAGTGTAATCACCTGCAATCAAGTCCAATCGAGCGCGCGCAAAGTGACAATAATTGCATCCGATATCACCAAATTTGGCAGTGATGTCACCGTCCAATGTAGTCCGCTTAATGCACGACCAATTGAATTTCACGCGTGTTCCGCCTCGCTTATCGCACAGTCGCCTCGTTTAAGTGCCATAGAAATCTTAGTTAAGAGACGCTACGCTGGAAGAGAGATATACGTATTTGTTAATGTACTCACTTTATCACACCGGCTACAGCATCGATAGAAACGAAAGATTAAAATAATAACGATACGACAGCCGATAATTCATTCTATCCGCACGCACTGATACGCCATATAATTTAATATTGATGTTCCGTAATCGGGAAGTAGACAATCGCGGCATCAACGAGTTTTACATAGTGACCGCGTCACTTTGGTTAAAATTTTTCATAGAAATGTAGGTCGATATCGAACGTAAAGATAAATGTCACGAATGACACTTTGGACTTTACTATTAGAGCATTAGTACAACTTCTATACGCTATTTAAGATTTTCAATTAGATTTTTATCCGATTTTTTCACTCCTTTGTTCCTCAACTCGCTATTTTTATTTTTTATTTTCTTTTCTTTTCTTTTTTAAATAAAAGCGAGTTATTCGATCTTTTTCTACCGCGTTCCATTTTCTCGCGCAGTTAGTAAGTTCTTAAAATCTCGTTCACGTAAAATTTTATGATTAACGTGCACGTTGCTTATTAAAGATTCTCAGAGCCGGATACTTCTCGTCGTTAACGACAGTGAACTTCCTTAACCGGAGATGCGGAACAATCTGAAACTTCATCCCACGCTCGCATAGCATTTCGCGGGAGTATCGAGATCGACGCCCTCGAGTTCATCCAACGTCATAGTTAGAGTGCTCGAATGCTTCACTTAAGAATACCTAGTTAATGCAACAACGGCTTATCGCCGATAATTTGCGATGCATTTGCACGAGCGAAATAAAAATAGACATTAGTAACTTATTACACGGACAATTTGTTTCCTTAGATCAGTTTATTCCAATTCACGCAGCCGTGACTTCGAGATGATCGATAAAATGCTTTAGCGCCTACGCTATTTCCCGTGAGCCTCGTTTAGTCTGTCTTCGTGTGAAGGTGTGTATTTGTCTATATATTGAATAGATATTTATCGCAAAAAATGTTTGAAATTTCGAAAAGATTCCTCGAAGAATCTCTTGGATTCTATCATTTAAATGAAGATACTCTGCGGAATATACTTGCGTCACGTGTGATTGCCATCTCCGCGTTAACGGGAACGATCTATCTCGATACCATACACGGTTTACACGGACTGTTTTCGATTGTTCAACATGCAAACCGCTATAGAGAGCATGCCCTACTTGCATCGAGACGCGATGATGTGAACGACGTGATATCTGCGAACACGCGTGATCGCGTTTTCCCGACGATTCGGTATTACTATTTTATGACGACGCGAGATGCGCAATGCCTGTGTTACGACATCGATAAATACGTGATATTTTATTAACGGAGCGTGATTCGTGTTTGCGATCGTACTTCTTTCAGACGAGAATTCTCCATCAGACTACCAGTTACTCTCTATAAAATATTAACGACGGAGAGAAACGTTCCTTTTTTTTGTTTAACAAGTTTTCTAAAGAGAGAGAATTATGCTCGCGCGAAAATTCGTGGAACCAAAATTATGCAAACGAGCTCCGTCAGACTTTCAGTTACTCTCTATAAAATATTAACGACGGAGAGAAACGTTCATTTTTTTGTTCAACAAGTTTTCTAAAGAGAGAGAATTATGCTCGCGCGAAAATTCGTGGAACCAAAATTATGTAAACGAGCTTCATTATGAGCGACTCGCTCGTCGATATCATCAAGGACGGGCAATCAGCTTAAAGACCCAAGCTGCTTAAACCGCTAATTAAATGCCAAAACTTCATTTGATGTGCTTTATGCGAATTACGCTCGAGTGTTAAAAACGGAGAGTAAAGGATTTGGCTAACAGTATCAGCGAACGTTATTTGCTTCGTTACAGAGTTACTGCGTCAAGTTGGAGAACGAGCGTGCTCGTGAGTATAATGAGCAGCTCCAACAGACCGAAAATAGATGCGCGAATTTTTAAACGAATGCATAATGTAGCACGATACAATAACATAGGATTCCCATTCACATTTTGAAACATTCAAATTGTCAATGAAATATTGAAAGTTACGAGCAGGAGAACTGGGAAACCCTCTACATTTGGATGAAAAATGAAAATTTGCCTACGAAAAATTTCAAGATTGTAAAAAACATGCTAATGCACAGAAAAAAAATAAGTATCGAATCAAAACTTGTATACTTCAATTAATGCGTTCATTGTTTCGTATATACGCAACAATTTATAATCTTCTTAGAAGAATTTAATAATTTTAAATTTCAACAATATTATAGTCTTATTTTAACATTGTAATTGTCACCTCAAGAATATATAATTATTTAATTCTAATTTCAGATAATTATAATTTTTGATTTAAAAATGTTATTTTCTATCTAACATTATTTCTTTTCCATTCAAGAAAATTAAATCTTAAATCGTGAGAATATATTTTTCTTGATTGAACTATATAAAATGGCTTCATTCAAGAATCCTTTTTTTCTGTGTGGAAAAAAAATAAATTTAATAATAATAAAATAATAATAAAATAAATTTCTTTGTATATCAAATTATTATTTGCGTCGACGCATAATATTGTCTAGTTTTGATCTATTTTTAGAAGTGTATACGAGCGATAAATTGCATTAACGATACGAAACCGTATCGCAAAAGTAAGGTTCGGTAAGGAACGTTACACGATATGTCGTAAGCATAAAAGCCACATGTGCACCGTGGTGCACGATCTCGTGTTACCTGCATTCCGTCAAACTAAGCACTACCGGCGTTGTACTAATCTCGCTCGTGCCCACGGCGTTCATTATGCATCTACGTTTGAAGCTACGTAATGAACGCCCGCGGAAAAACGAAGCCACATTTACGTTATTACGCCTTCCAATCTCTGCTAACGGGTTGTCAAGACGTTTATCGCAAACGATTAGCATATCAAACGTGACGATCGTAAATCTATGTTCCTTTTTTTTAAATAATTGTTATGACATTGACTTTAGGCAAATGACTATAGCTACTGTAAAGTCATTACGAACAAAATAGCGCCAAGTTCGTGCCAAGTGGCATAGCTGGCGAATGCATAACTGATAACCTCCGCTTCCTAACAATTTTTACGCTACATTAATGCGAATACTTAGTCATAACACGATCCATAAAAATAAAGTATATATACTCTTAATATATATTATTATGGATATAATTCTAGATATTACAGATATTAATTTACAGAAGTGTGATAATCAACGTTATAGTTCACGTAATAATTAACATCCAACTTGCACGTGTTATCAGTAATTATTGGCCGAATAATAATTATAGCGACCATTGACCGTATTAAGATGGGATATCCTTATTTTGATACCTCTAATGCTCAATGAATCGATAGAATCGAACAATAGAAGTAATCAATAGAATCGAACAATTGTAATTTGTTTTTGTCGGATTTTTTAGAGAGATGTCACCGAGTCAACGAAGGAATTTATCGACAAAGAGCAGGTGACTAGCATGGTAGCGCGGGATGTCGTCGATAACATCCGATTCGATGCCGTCACCGGCTCGGTACCCCTATCTCCAACGAGGAAGCCATCGCCGGAGCGGCCTGGTTATCCTCGTGGAATACCTGGACTCAGGGAGGAGGATCGATCGAAACCAATTCCGGCTGCTGGAAAGCCCAGTCGGCCTTTGCAGCGTGAAAAAAGTCCTCAACGACCAGCTGAACGTGATGGGTGAGTAAAAAACAAGAATATATTTTTTTTAATTTTCTTATATAATTTTATATATTATTATATACTATATCATCCTTTAACTTTATATTTATTTTTCTTTCGAGATATATGTATTTAAAAAAAAAGAAAAAGAGAAAAGAGATGTAAATTATACATTTATAATTTGTTAATACTTAATTTTGTTGCAAAGACCTACCAAAGTCCGACCAAAGTCGCCCGAAAAGCTTCGCGATTATACTTCGCCGACTAGAAAACCGCAACCAGCAGCCGGCAAGCCGAGTCAGCCTGCGGAGAAGCCTGAAAAACCGATAAGACCGGAGCAAGATGACAAACCAAAACAAGGAGATGAAATTCCAGATGAGGGCCCTAAACCGATACCGGATATACTCTCGAAAATCCCCCTGAAAGAACAATGTATTTGCGAGCTTTGTACTTGCGGGTAAGTCTTTCCTTAGTCAAATATCAAAGTCTTTCCTTAGTCAAATATTTTTTACATGAATATGCATAGAAAGAGAAACCGATATAATTTAATTCAACCTAAATTATACATTGCTTATTAAGCCAAAAATTAAAATTTCTTTCATTTTTCTCTGATTTCTCTAATTTTCTAATTATTCTCACATCAACCATTTTCACATATCACAAGGAGGATGTAATTAACAACTATAGCTAGCGCGAATATGATTTAATTTAACTTATCTGCACGTTCGCTGCGGAGATGAACATGACTGACCTACTTCGAAACACTATTAACAAGATCAGAATACAAAACTTGTCGGAGTCGAGATGCAAATTCACGAGAGGAGCACAGAAGATTGTCTCTTCAAGGCCATCTTTCCTATTCTATTAAATTTATTAGAATGATCTATTCAAAGCCGGACGTTTATTTGCTGTCTACAAATATATTTACCTTCTTGCTATCGTGTTGCTCTTTAATGTTGTTAATGCAAGATATATTCTTACTGCTTCCCATACACAATCACAAATTTGTTATGAAAAGAGTTTTCCTCTTTTCCATTAACTAACTATTTTTAATTCGTAATGAATTTTGTTAAAAGGTATTTTTATTCAATTTTTTGGTAATAAAAATATCGATAATAAATTCATAAAAAAATAAGAATATTTTATTTGCATCTCTTTTCAGAACTCTCTATATATGTATGCATAATGTATAAAAGTAGGACACGAGACAGATCCTTTTATGGCAAGTTGTTTCTGGGCGATGGCAAGTCATCGCACAGGATTCCTTCCTTATTCGAACTTTTTCCAACCTACGTAGCTTTATATGACAATGACGAATCGTACAAAATTACGATACAACTTTAGCATAATTGCGTTAGATACACCATCATTTTTGAAGGATCTTTATCCTTCTTCCAAGGAAAACGGCCGTTATGTTAAATAAGATTAATGTGTTGCAATATTTTTAATTTCTTTCAAGTTTTTCACACACGAAAATATCAAAATACGAAAAGAAAGTTAAACTTTGATATTTAAACATAAAAATAATATATTTTTTCTACTTCAACTCTATTTTAGTACGTATGATTTTTTCAGTATATAACAATAGTAATTACATACGTTTTCGTGCACGTATATGCATGTAATTAAACGTCTTATCAGATTGAAAATCTTGACCTAAATAAGGGTTCGACAGCGCAGACAGATTCACGAAAGGCGTAAGCTCGAGGAAAATTAGTCGTGTCGTGACCGTCTCAAGAAGTAATTTGCGGTTCGTCTGCTTGCTAACGATTAGTCGTCGGAAATTTCTACGTAAGTCCGTTTAACTTTGAGAGATCTGATATAATTTCTCTCTTCTGGTTCTAACATGGCTCTTCTAAAGGAACGTTCAGAACGCGTCACATGTAACGCAAAGTTTTATCCAATAAAAAATACATGAGAATATGCTCGGTTTTCTGAGATCAAGTCTGACATTTACGGAATTACATTCCGACAGTAAAAAGAAGAGTAAGCAAGAATGACAATGATTGGAAATGTCGATACTACTCAATATAGTTGTACAAAATAGAGTATCCCATAAACGTAAAATCGCTCTCCAAATAAGTCGAATTGTTCTGTATAAAATATTGGCAAGGATACTTGATTTCTTTTCTCTCATCATCTACGTGTCACCCAATTGTCTTTGAAATGCAAAGTACCTTCATTGAAGTATACATGCTTCTCAAAAAAGGGAGAAATGATAATTTTTTATTAATCAATCATAATTTTTCATTAATTAATTGCAACCAATGTCGAAAGAAAATTTTATAGACAATATCGTTATAACATTTTTAATAGAATCGCGTTGTATAAATATTTGTTTAATATGATTTTTGTCTATAATTAGGTCAAAGAAAAATATAATCTAATTAATTGAATATGTATCAATAACTCATTTATTAATAATTCAATTTATATCGCATATCATCAATACGTATACACACACATACACGTTGTCTGTCTGACTAATAAATACTTTTCCCACTATGCGCCACATGCATGAATCAAGCATCCATTATAACAATCGAATCCTATTGAATAAATTGATTTAATGTATCTAGCTTATTGCGCGTAATTCTCGCATTATTTAAAAATTATTTTGTATCTGATTTTAATAATTTATAATATATGATATTAAAACATAATAATATTAATATTATATCTCGAATAATAACATTAAAACGCCGTGCATTGAATAAATTAATCATTGTTATCTGAAAGTTTAATGAGACTCGTTAAAAAAAGAGTGGCGTCTATGATAGTATACTCAAATAGTTGCGTGACAATAATATATAAGATCCACAATTACATGATCGACAATAATATATAAGATCCACAATTACATGATCGTCATTACATGAATCCGGTTATAAGTAATATAGTTTTTGCTATAAATTGCAATCAGATCAAATTGCAATGAGATCATGATTTCGTTTTTATATCCATCGCGTGCAGAAATGGCGTCTGCAAATATTAACTTTGAGAGTAACGAGATATTTAAAATCACGACACAAGAACGCGCGCAGAAACCTTCACTCATTATAAAAGGATTGATGCCCTTTTGTATCGTATTTAAATCTCTGTATGTGCCAAGCCTTTGTCATGCGGCAGCTTGGTTCGAACGAATATAAAAGCGGATAACAAGAATTTTCTGCGAAGAGAAAATATTCTTCTTTCTTTTTATTAATATTAAACAGATATAAATAAATATATATACAGATTACAGATACAAATATATATACAAATTATTATACATGTATATAAATATATATACATATATAATAAATATATATACAGATATAATAAACAGATATAAATTAATATTAAACAGATATAAATAAATATATATATATATATATATATATATATATATATATATATATATATAAGAATATAGGTAAAATTTTGTTTAATAAAATATGGATATATCTATTTTTTAATACGAGAATTTTTTTAAAACATATTCATTTCTCACATAAACTGAGAAATAGATATCAAAGATGTTGAATCCATTTTAATTTTAAATTCTAATAAATGGTAATATTTTAGACGTCATCGTTGCCCGCACAATTTGCCTCAAGAATTCGAATTCCCTTATGAAGAGCCGGTGCATACCGTTACTTCCTATCGTCAAGATTACGATGAAAAACACGTGGAAAAGCAAATGAAATATTATCATGAAGATCATCTGCATACAGAAGGCGAATTTATTGGACAGAGGCGAACCGATTATGTGGCCACTAAAGGCGAAAGAGCACCGGTTAAAAAACCACAAGATCATCTTAAACCTGAGGGAGAATTCGTTAAAAGACCAAAAGAAGAGGCACCTAAAATAGGTGAAAGAGCACCCGTGAAGAAGCCAGAAGCTAGTTTGAAACTCGAAGGAGACTTTGATAGTAAGTTTTAGCACATTTGTTTTTTCTCTGATTTTTCATTGATTTGTCATTGATTTTTCATTCTGTATTATAAGTTCTATATAAGTTTTATTTACACATACACAATCCAAATTTTTAAATGTAGCAAATTAAATATTCTTTTATAAAATCTACATATATTCAATACAGATAAAAAAATTATTTTCTCGCTTTCTAGCTGCAACAACAACAGAGCTGGTCTTCACTGGTACTCCTGGCGAACGACCGACCCCAATACGTCGCAATACTTACACAAAGATAGAGGGTGATTTCGTTGATGAAACGACGACGCGATCTCAATATATCGATCATCGCAATATTCAACGCGCTGAGATCATCAAACGAACAGATAACCTCACCGTGGGAGAGGGTGAATTCACTGTTAGTATCTCGAATAATAAGTTTGTAGAATTTTATTTAGATTAGAATGTTTATAATATTATTGTATTCTTTCCTATTTACTCTCATACATTTATTGTTTTTAAAAAATTATATGCAGGGTACCTCTCATACAAAGGAGGATTTCCATACTCATGTTATCGAGCGTGAACCTCAGTGGCGTCCGAAATACCCTGAAGACATTGATCGGTTCTACAGCAAAACTGATACCATAGACAGCACTACAACTACCCAAGAACAATATCGAACTTTCGATCAGACGGATTACAAAAGCACTATTATTGTTAGAAGAGCTGACAATTTGAGACCTGAAGGACCTTTTGAAGCATTGCCTCATACAAAAGATGATTACGTTGCGCCGATATTGCCACGCAGGCCGGAATTACAGAAACCTAAAGATAATTTAAAACCCGAAGGACCATTCGAAGGCCGCCCTAAGGATGATTACACACCAACCAGAGGAGAACGCGCGGATGTTAAACGACCGCAAGATAATTTACGGCCAGAAGGTCCTTTTGAAGGCCGACCTAAAGATGATTATAAACCTGCCAGAGGTGAACGCGCTGATGTTAAGCGACCTGAAGACAACTTGCGACCAGAGGGGCCATTCGAAGGACGTCCTAAAGATGATTATTCACCTAAACGCGGCGAACGCCATGAAGTAAAACGACCGGAAGATAACTTACGTCCCGAAGGATTATTTGAAGCTCGACCAAAGGATGATTACCGACCAACGAAGGGTGAACGAGCTGACGTTAAACGTCCTCAAGACAATTTAAAGCCAGAAGGACCGTTCGAAGGACGGCCTAAAGATGATTATATACCAACTAGAGGAGAACGCGCGGATGTTAAACGACCGGAAGATAATTTACGGCCAGAAGGTCCCTTTGAAGGCCGACCTAAAGATGATTATTCACCTAAACGAGCGGAACGCCCTGAAGTAAAACGACCGCAAGATAACTTACGACCAGAGGGGCCATTCGAAGGACGTCCTAAAGATGATTATTCACCTAAACGCGGCGAACGCCATGAAGTAAAACGACCGGAAGATAACTTACGTCCCGAAGGATTATTTGAAGCTCGACCAAAGGATGATTACCGACCAACTAAGGGCGAACGAGCTGATGTTAAACGTCCTCAAGACAATTTAAAGCCAGAGGGACCGTTTGAAGGACGACCTAAGGACGATTATACACCAACCAGAGGAGAACGCGCGGATGTTAAACGACCGGAAGATAATTTACGGCCAGAAGGTCCCTTTGAAGGCCGACCTAAAGATGATTATAAACCTACCAGAGGTGAACGCGCTGATGTCAAGCGACCTGAAGACAACTTACGGCCAGAGGGGCCATTCGAAGGACGTCCTAAAGATGATTATTCACCTAAACGCGGCGAACGCCATGAAGTAAAACGACCGGAAGATAACTTACGTCCCGAAGGATTATTTGAAGCTCGACCAAAGGATGATTACCGACCAACGAAGGGTGAACGAGCTGACGTTAAACGTCCTCAAGACAATTTAAAGCCAGAAGGACCGTTCGAAGGACGACCTAAGGACGATTATACACCAACCAAAGGAGAACGCGCAGATGTTAAACGACCGGAAGATAATTTACGGCCAGAAGGTCCCTTTGAAGGCCGACCTAAAGATGATTATTCACCTAAACGAGGGGAACGCCCTGAAGTAAAACGACCGGAAGATAACTTACGTCCCGAAGGATTATTTGAAGCTCGACCAAAGGATGATTATCGACCAACTAAAGGCGAACGAGCTGATGTTAAACGTCCTCAAGACAATTTAAAGCCAGAAGGACCATTCGAAGGCCGGCCTAAGGATGATTATACACCAACAAGAGGAGAACGCGCGGATGTTAAACGCCCGGAAGATAATTTACGTCCCGAAGGATTATTCGAAGGTCGTCCTAAGGATGATTATCGACCAACTAAAGGCGAACGAGCTGACGTTAAACGTCCTCAAGACAATTTAAAACCCGAGGGACCATTTGAAGGACGTCCTAAAGATGATTTCATTCCGAAAACAGCAGAACGTCCTGATGTAAAGCGTCCGAAGGACAATTTACGACCTGAAGGTGATTTTATAGATCGTCCCAAAGATCAATATATACCTGCTGAGAGACGTACGCCGATTAAACATGCAGATAATTTGTATCCTGAAGGCGGCTTCGAAAGACCTGAGCCGATTCCTTACGGTCCTGGTGATAGAGCATCTATCGTACGTCATCCAGACAATCTATTTCCAATAGAAGAATTTCCAGACAGAAAACCCGAGATAGAAACTTTTAAACCAGCCGAACGTAGAACTCCTTTTAAATATAACGATAATCTTCGTCCGGAAGGTGACTTTATAGGAAGGCCTAAGGATGATTATTCACCTAAACGCGGTGAACGCCCTGAAGTAAAACGACCAGAAGATAACTTACGTCCCGAAGGATTATTTGAAGCTCGACCTAAGGATGATTACCGACCAACTAAGGGCGAACGAGCCGACGTTAAACGTCCTCAAGACAATTTAAAACCAGAAGGACCGTTCGAAGGACGGCCTAAGGATGATTATATACCAACTAGAGGAGAACGCGCAGATGTTAAACGCCCGGAAGATAATTTACGGCCAGAAGGTCCTTTTGAAGGTCGACCTAAAGATGATTATTCACCTAAACGCGGTGAACGCCTCGAAGTAAAACGTCCGGAAGACAATTTACGTCCTGAAGGCGACTTCCAAAGACCAGAGAAGGCACCTATTGGTCCAGCAGAGAGACGTTCTCCGATTAAACACCCGGATAATTTAAAACCGGAAGGAGAATTTGCACGGCCAAAATACGACGAATATCATCCAGCAGAAAGACCTCAAGTAAAAAAACCATCCGACAATTTGAGCTTGGAAGGTGATTTTGAAAGGCCGGAGAAAAGACCGATTGGTCCAGTGGAGAGAAGAACTCCAATTAAATATGCGGATAACTTGAAGCCAGAAGGCAAATTTGTAGGGAAACCCAAGGAAGAAGCTCCAAAAAGAGGAGATAGAATGGATATTAAGAGACCTGAAGATAACCTTAAACCTGAAGGAGATTTTGAGAGACCCGAGAAAGCTCCAATTGGACCGGCTGAGCGACGAACGCCTATCAAGCATCCTGATAATTTGCGACCTGAAGGTGATTTTGAAAAACGTTTAAAGGAAAAGACGCCCCTCAAAGGCGAAAGAGCAGATGTTACCAGACCGAAGGATAATTTACGACCTGAAGGTGAATTTGAAAGACCTCAGAAATCGCCAATCGGACCCGCAGAACGGCGTACTCCAATTCGACACGATGACAATCTGCGTCCAGAGGGTGATTTCGTTGGACGATCAAAGGATGACTTTATTCCTAAACGTGCTGATCGACCGATTCAGAAGAAACCCAAGGACAACTTGAAACCCGAAGGAGAATTTGTAGGTAAACCGAAAGATGATTACAAGCCGATTAAAGGAGAAAGAACCGAAATTGTAATGCATCGAGACAATTTGAAAATGGAAGGCGACATAGATATTTATCGATCACGAGACGATTACGTGACCACATCTAAAAGAGAGCGTGTGGATATTATTCAGCGCGAGGATAATCTAAAAATCGAAGGCGAATTTATCGATATTCATCGACGAGACGATTATCGAGTTACACGTGGTGAACGTAGCGAAATTATCAGACACGAAGACAACCTCCGTCCCGAGGGTGATTTTGTACGTGAACGTCCAGAAAAGATACCGATAGGTCCGGCCGAGAAAAGATCTCCGATCAAACATCTCGATAATTTGAAGCTGGAAGGTGATTTCGTGCAGCGGCCAAAAGAACACGCACCTACTAAAGGTGACCGAGCAATCGTCAGGAAGCCCAAGGATAATCTGAAGTCTGAGGGTGATTTTGAGAGACCAACAAAGTCGCCCATTGGTCCCGCTGAACGGCGATCACCCATTAAGCATCCTGATAATCTTCATCTGGAGGGAGAATTCGTCGGTCGATTAAAGAAAGACACGCCATTGAAAGGTGATCGAGCGGATGTGAAGAAACCGAAAGACAACCTTCATCTCAAAGGAGAATTCGCGAAACGTATCCCGAAGAAAGTAGAGCCGGCCGAGCGAAGATCGCCGATTAAACACGAAGACAACTTACATCCTCAAGGAGACTTCTATATCGTGCCTAAAGATGATTTTACTCCGAAGAGAGGAGATCGCTCGCCGGTTAAAAAACCCCAGGACAATCTTCGTCTCGAAGGTGAGATGGAAGTATCTCCGAAGGATGATTATAAGCACGTGAATGGAGAACGCGTGGAAGTGCGCCGACATGAAGATCATTTACGTATGGAAGGACAGATGGATATTCATCGTTCCAGAGATGATTATAAGAAAATTACGAAAGTGGAGAAAGTTGATGTTAAGAGACGCGAAGATAATCTCAGAATGGAGGGCGAGTTTGTCGATGTGCGTCGCAAAGACGATTATGTACATGTGATTGGTGAACGAGTGCCAATTAAGAAGCATGTAGACAATCTCCGTCCGGAAGGAGACTTTGACAAACGTCAAAAAATCGTGGTCGGCCCCGGAGAAAGAAGATCGCCGATCAAACATCCGGATAATCTCAAGCCAGAGGGTAGTTTCGAACGTAGAATCACAGATAAGGTTGGTCCCGGCGAACGACGGACGCCGATTCGTCACACTGATAATTTGAAGCCCGAGGGTGATTTTATCGGACGCCCGCGCGACGATTTTACATCCAAAAAGACGGAAAGAGTCGAAGTTGTGAAAAGAGAAGATAATTTAAAAATGACAGGCGATTTCGAAGGCACAACGTCTCATAGATCGACCTATACGGTCCTGCGTGGCGAACGCGCGGATATCAAATCGCACGAGGATAACTTAAAGATTAATACCGGCACTATGGAAACGAAAACGACTTCCAGAGATACTTACGCGCCTTCTAAACAAGAACGTTCTCCCGCTGACAAAATAGTAAATCGTCGAAAACATATGGAATCATCTATTTCGCTTGGTGACGACACTACTGTAATGACTACGACGAATCGACGTAACTACAACACCTATACGAAGCGTACAGGAAAAGATATTGCTGCTAAGATGAGTCAGATAGAGTCCGATACAAAGAAAATCGTAGAATCGCAAACTCTGACAGATGGAACGGTTATTACGACTGTAAAACGAACCACGACTTCAGCTCACTCCGATCAAAGAGTCGCTAATGCCCAAACTGTTAGTCAGCAACAACAGGTACAACGTATTAACGATCATCGTACCACTCAGTCGATCGAGGACTCACCATCTGGATTGCAACCTATTGATACACGAAAAACGGTATCCAATCAACATCACGAACAAAGAATGCACTTGAACGAGCAACATCTGCGGTCGCAAAATGTAGCGCAGACTCGTCGAACAATCGAAGACAGATCGATTACGGAAGGACTGAATCATCGAGGACAGATCGTACGAGGAGAAGATACATCTCATTACGCAATCGACGCTGTGCACGGCGAGCATCACAGACAACAACATCAACACGTCGAGCGTCATCATCAGGAAATGAGTAAACGTGATTACGTGAACATGCAACACATGGAAAGTCGGCAGAAATCTGCGATGAGACAGCAACACGAGCATCATACCGTTTCCAATCAGACGCGATACAATTCGAGCAGTCCGGAATTCCGGCAGACGATCAATGGACAAACAATTGTGGAGCAATCGCACGTCGATTCGGCCAAGAAAATCAGTCATCATCGCAAGAACGTGATATCCTCCTCGTCGGCTGACGTCAACAATGCAGTGCTCTATCGTAATGGTGGCGTCACTACATCCACTGAGGCGCTTCACACAATCTCATCGACAGCAGCGGATCAACGAAAAAGTATTTCGAATCTAGCCGAGAGCGGACAGTATATCAGCAACTCGAGCCACAGCAACGACAGACGTAGTCTGACCTCACTACATCGCAGCTCCAAGGAGGCGAATCCTTGGGCCTCTTCCAGCTACGAACGCCCGCAAAGAATCGTGCGACACGACAACCTGACTGTCGGCGGAAAATTCTATTCGCAGAGCGAAGCGAAAAACTACGGCAATTTCTCGCAGAGTTCCCAAAAAGTGGAACGAGTACGAAGACAAACGAATGCATCTCACATTAATTTAGGCGACGGCAGTGTCGTCAATTCTAGCATGTACAAGAGAGAATACGTTCCTAGGAGTAGAGGACCGTGTCCGGCCGCTCTTTTAGAAGCAAAACAGGCGCCCTTCAAACATACTAGAGACACACCGAAGCACAAGTTTTACATGCCCGTTGTATCCAACTAAATTAGTTTACTAACATGTTTTATTCAATTTTCCGGAAATATTATGCTATATGATATTAATGCATTCTAAAAGATTTCCTTGCAAAAATGGTTACATTTATATATAATATATAAACATCCATTATATATTATATACACATATAGTTTTCTGGAAGCTTTATTTTGTCATATTGATTATATTGGATAAAGATATATAATACTTAATAATTATAATATTAATTATAATTATAAATAATATATAATGATAATTAATTGTTATAATTATTAATTTATTATTAATTTTATATTAGTAACTATAATAATTATAACAAAAATATATAAAATATAATTATAAGAATATATATATAGATACGTATCTTTATATACGTATCGTAAATTTTATTTTTCAAAGTGCTTGAATTTTTCCATGACTGATAATCTGAAAAGGATTATTTAATAATGCGGGCTGTGATAAACTCGCGCTTGAGAAAAATTAATTTATCTTATATTTGTTGAAAAATTATTCTAAACAAAAATATTCGCGGATATTTATAATCTTTTTTTTTTAAATTACAATATTAACAAACAAGATTTAATCTATGGTGATAAATGTCTCTTGTAGCAATATTAAAATTGTTGAAATACGTATATCATATAGAATTATATCATTATATGGCGTTACGATGTTATTAATGTATGCTATCTCTTTTTTTAGAACGCAGTCGCAAATGAAAATAATTATATTATCGATATATAAAATCGATCATCGCTAACTTTTGTCTGTCCAGATAGATAGACGTTACAAATTTCTTTCTTCTTAAAACACGTGTATACAAAGCAATAACTAGAGCTTAAATCCGTGATATGATCGGACCTAATGGAACGTTAGTTTCGTCCGATAATTAGAATAGTACACGCACTACGCTATTTTGCTGACTTTGCTTAATACGAAGTTTTTATATTGGTAATGAGTTCTCTCGCTTATTTTATTTTATTTTCAGCTTTTTTTATTGTGTTGCACATATAACATTAGATTCTATGATTTTCATTATATTATAAATTATATATTATATTTATATATTAGAAATTATACCTTATGTTTTTTCTTTTCCCCCCTTTTAGTTGTTTAATATCCGTTGTAAACGGATAATTCAACTACTGGATGTCGGTTTATTTACTTTACATTGAACACTTGTTTTAATTTTTTGAATAAAATTGATTCGTAATTATTTGTCGCACGGATTTTATTTGTTACCTTTACACTTTTATTTTATTAATGCTCTTGCGCGATTGAACAATAGAAAAATGTTTATCAATATTATTTGTTATCTGTACAATGCAACGCTCATATACATGTATACATCGATGTATAATTGTTACAGAAATTAATTCACACACATTTATAAGAAGATTATATAAATGAAAATTGTTTTCTAATCTAATTAAAAATGATTGAGAGAGGTAATATTGTACATATGTATTCACATTCTCATTCATGAAAGCAGTTTAGATGTCAGTATTAAATTAATTGAGAGCCAAAAAATCTGCCATTAAAAAATAATATGATAGAAGTGTACATATATGTGTGTATATTTGTAAATTGACAATCGGATCGTTTTCATATCAATATCGTTGGCATGGCCATAGGCTGTTCGCAAATAATGCGAATAAAGCTTTATAGATCATGACTGACACAAAAAAATCTCACTTACGTTCCTAATTTTTTCGGAAATATTCGACTGCATGGACAATAATGGCTCTAGTGCGTATACTAGATTTTACGCACCGTAGAGATATGTAAAAAAATAAATATGCGAGAGAAACATCGAGAAAAAAGTAATATTTTTTTACTATATTTTTACTAGATCTTGAAATATGTAAGGCAGAGTATCTCTAATAATTCTATCTAAAATAACTTTTAAAATATTATTAAATCATATTTAATGCATAAAGTTATTATAATTTAACAACATTGATTTTTTTCATGCATCTCGATCATTACTATTATTATTACTACTAGATGGATAAATCTGAAAACATATAGTATAAGAGAGAGATGTGTATAAATATATAGATATATATATAATTGTATACATTTAGATAAACAGCACAATAAAAAAATAATATATTTTATATTTTTCGAATCTTTTTCCTTACACAAAGGAAGATTTTGCAATCATATCTAATAAATTTTTATTGAAACAGAAGAATGAAAAAAATCCGTTTTCCTTTTATCACAAGTTGAGCAGTTAAGATGAGTTTAAGTCAGGAAGCAATGTAAAAAGGAGTATATAATTTCTCTATTATATTTTTTGACTTATGTTTTTATTAATAAGCTATTGACACAGTGGCCTTCCTAGGTCATCGTAAAAATAGAGAAAGAAGAACTAGACTAACAAAGTGGGAATCTCTTTATCACTTTGCCACTTGACAGACTTCGGGAAAACTCAAAAGTGCACAAGAAGGTTCGCTTGACATTTAGACGTATTAACAATTAATACGTGTACACGTGCAATCGATGAAATGTGACCAACTCATACTTATATTCTATTACGATAAATATAATCATGCGCATAAAGTAGACGCACTGCGACTGCTTTCACATCGCGATGCGAATCAAATATTAATTACTTTATATAATATCGACACATACATGTATGTAAAGCAAGACAATTTGAAGATGCGGTGCCGTTATTACCTGTTCCTCAAAGTTTATCTCTCTCCCTCGTCTCCTTTTGCCTTCGTCATCACATTTCCAAGATGTTGAAGAAAAAGAGAGAGGAGAGAAAGAGAAAAGAAAGGAGGAAGAGGAAGAAAAAGAGGGAAATAAGCCATCACCTATGGGCGACTGCATATTACGCTTTTCCCCTTCGCTTCACTTCCTTCTTCCATCCACGGGTATTTTCATGCCGCGCTACTCGATGTCCCGCGTGAAATCTCAGGGTTGTTAACCCCCGCAATGAGGTTGCCGAAAATTTCGCGCCGTAATGGAAGTTTCACTTCGCGGGCCACTTTCATGTCTCTGTATCGCGGAAATTATAGACTCTCTGCCTCTCTAATTATTCGATCGCTCGCATTCCTTCGCCAAACTTTCGATATGACCAATCAAAAGGAACGTTTTGTTATACGACCGACGTTGTCGAAAACTTTCTACCCACCGTCGACGGTGCACCGAATGCACATAAGCGAATCGTGACGATCCATATTTCGAGTGGTCGAGCAAAAAATTTTATGCACACCCGTACGCATTTTATTTTACACTTTTCTTTTGCAGAATATCGAATGCAGAGATATATCGATTGGTAATCTATATTTTTTTATACTGCATAGATATCTGTAATCTGTTATTTTTTAAATACGAGTTCCAGTTTCAAGTTGCAACGGACTAGTTTTTTTTCGCAACTTGTTGAGTAATAATATTTCTACTTTGCGTTATCGCTGATTACGCATCGTACGTCCAATTAAAATAGCGCTGAACCGTTACGGAGCTTCGCTTACCCGATACAATTCATTACTATTACATAAATAATTAGGCAAAGAGATCACTAGTTATATACGAGTCGAATGATTAAAATGCCGGTCTATTAACCGCTAATCGACGTCGATCGTAATTACGCGGCGCAAAGTGGCACGATTCTACGGAAGCGATTTGTTGCTCTCTTTTCTCGGCCTTTCGCGATCTCGCAGCCCTATATCCTGAGAGAAAGAAGAATAAATTTAAAAAAAATTCGAAGGATAATTAAAATTGAAAGGATAATTTTAATTACAATTATTGGGGATGCATTTGTAGTACGTGCATACTTTTACGCAAATCGAAGGAAATATGTCGAATAATTTTCTCGACTATGTAAGACGTGGACAAAAACGTGTGGGACAGAAAGAAGTACAAAACAGCGACCTATTAACCGGCAGTCGGTCGACGTCGTCTAAGCGAAGTGGTACGATTTGGAATGGCGTGTCGAGAACGTGTTGTCCTCTTTCACGAGGGGGTGTCTGTCTACCTGCAGGCGATCGTAAAGTCACCTGCCGCATACCTGTCTGCCTCGCCTGGCTTGGAGGCTGGAGGCGATTGCCACTCGTTCACCTCTCTCGCTATCTCTCATTCTCTCCGTCATCATCGCGAAAAAAACATTCGCTTTCACGAAAGTCCATGTTGCGGCTTCTCGTAGACCTCTCCTCCATTTAGACGTTGCACAGCGTCGCTTTTACGAGACGCAGAGGATGCAAGAGAGGATTCTTCGGTGAAATCCGTGGACTTTTGCTGGCTCTCGCGTTCCTTCCACGAGCGAGGAAGTTACACAAAAACGAGAAAGTCCGTTGCGCGCGCAAAAAATCTCGAGAGCTTTCTGTTAAGATCACTCAAAAGAATGTTTTGCTGATGTAGGTAGATTTCTAGGTGTCATAATAAAAATTAATTTTTTCGTATCTGTTAAAACATTGTTTGCATGTGGAATTTATAGCAACAAATTCTAGTAATGCCTTCTGGCAAATTTAGCTCCCAAATAAAATTAATACGTTAGATAAATATGAAAATTATGATGTCATACTATAGTTAGAATAATTTTGTGAGAAACGATTTTTCTGTGTGCCACAGTCAAACACATACTATTAATCTTAACATGGATAGCATCATAGAAAGATTTTTTTCTAAATTTCACTAACAGTTCAGTATAAAAAAGTCTCTGTCATTTAGATTGATTATATATGCGATGTAACAGTACTTGCTAATTTATCTCAGTTAAGTTTTTGCATCTAGAAATTTATTGCTGTCGTTGCAAGGCCATTTTTTGAATGATATAGATGCGATTGTTATGAACTTTTAATATATATTCTTTTTATAAAAATCCCAAGGAACGGCCTCCCCCAGTTGCCGCCGATCGGAGTCGGAAAAAGTAGTCGGACTGGTCTAGGTCGGCAACGTTAGGTTCGTTAATTCTTTTCGCAGCACGTCGATAATGCGCCCCTTTTTAAGTATCTCCGCCGAGTTATCGGACGAAATTCTTGGCCCCGTTGCACCGTTCTCTCTCGTAACGAGAAGCCACGTAAAGTCGCGATCCACCAGTTCTATCAAATGATTCCTCGGTAGAATCGCGATCACCGTGCCGTTAAACGACCGAATTCGTCACGCTCGCGACCACCGCCCGATCAAAGTCGCCGATTTTCTATCATATATGCGCGATTTCACGCGCTCGTGCGTGAACGCATGTCGCCGCGATTTTACGGTCACGAGACCGACCGTTCGTTAGCGTGCTCCTTATTTGTAAAGTAGATAGTTTTCTTTTTCTTCGTTACATCACGAGAGTTTCACGTTTTTCTATTAAGGTGTAAGAAAATGTTTCAATTCGAGATTATATTTTCGTTTTTCCGAAATAAGAAACTGATAGGCGAGTGTAAAACGTAAAAATAACTTTCCCGGAAAAATCACGATGTATCTTCTGTGAAAATATTAATTATTTCTCTTATCGTTCGTATAAATGGAAAGTTGCGTGAAAGATTTTCCAGCCAGCAGGGCGATAAGCTGTTCACGCTTGGTGCATAGAAACTAAGGAAAAAACGCCGTCTTGGGCTATAATTTTATTGTCGGCGCGAGAAACCAAAACGCGTATGCGTTTGCAGCGGCACTCGTTCCAGCAACCCAGATCTCCGACACGATGGAAATATACCGTTAAAACGCGCTACAACAGGCTTGCAGCCGTTACTCCTCGTTCGACGAAACGTTGGCAGGAATCTCCTCAGTTCCTCTCTCTCTCTTTCTTTTTTTTTCTCTTTTTCTCTCTCGCGTGATCGGTTCGTCCGCAGATCGTTTCGCTATGCGATTCCGCGAGAAAGGATACTCGCAATTTTTACAAATATTCAAGTACATCGATCTATTGCTATGCATGTCTGAAAATTTTATAAGCGTCATTAGGAAAAATGCGATATAAAATAATGTCACGTTAATAATAAAATTATTTCAGAAACGTCACAATTTTATCTCTTGAAATGAAAAGAAAATATTTAAGAAATATATCGCGTTTTAGGTTGACTGTAGCGATTCTCTCCTCTTCTCTCCTACATCTATTTTCACCTACATATGCATCGTGCTATATTGGTGAATTTCCGGCATTCGCACCCGCATATTTTCTTGGCGCTCGCACGATTCAACGAAGCGAAAGTGCTCTTATAGCGCGGCTTATCGTCACCGGTGGGAAAGAGGATGGCATTCAATATGATTCCCGCGGACAGATTCACACTTGTACTCCTTGCTTCTCTGTTACCCGAGTCTCGCGGTTTCGCAAAACGAGACATTACCGCATGTCCGACACGTCTGACGAGATTACGACCGCGAGGTACATCGAGGCGAGAGAGGCGGATCGACGTAACTGGAGTAAGCCTCCTTTTTCCCAGCGTTAATTTTCTCATCGCACGTGATTCCGCGACGCGTCACCTCACGTCATCGCGAGTGATGAGATAGGAGTTCGTTTACCGTTTAAGAATTTTTGCGAATCTGAAACATATTTCCGTATTCAAGTATTGTATATTTCTATTTCGTATGTCGATTCCGAGTTCACATCCACGGCAAGAAATTGTGAAGTCAAAGCCGGTCATTATCGTTTCCTGCGAAGCGATGGCGATATGTCGGAGGCGTTTATGGCGCGATTACCACTCGCGATATATCGCGATCAAATACGTTATTGACGTAACTGGAGTAGCCTTCTCTCCTTTCCTGTCAGCTCTCTCCTCGTGATCGAAACGGCTACGGAAACGACTATCTGCATCCTTAATTCCGATTGTTTTGAAAACTCTGTATGGTATAAATAGAGATAAGATTACGAATTGCTGCTTTGTATATTTTATTTAATTCTATTTTTGAAAAATATGTTTCGTTAATTCTTTTATCTTCGCACTTAATTTAAGAAAAATCCTTCTCTTTTTGAATCTTGATATAATATTGTCAAAAAATCATGACACTTTTAGTAATCGCCAAAAGATTTTAAATGTCATTTTATATTTTTACAAAGCTATTAATCGATTCAGACCCTATGTACACAATTATGCACAAAAACCTTAATAGTTTCCCTGCGATCTCTCGGAGGAAAGAAAATATATATATCTCGAAAAAATATATATATATATATTTCGTCGTTTTAAACTCTTAGCATCAAATAAAAATTAATTGAATAATTTTTTACATTACAGAAAAAATTCAGATCCGAATGGGTTAATGCCATTAATAAGATAGCGTTGTGAAAAGTGCAGAAACTTGACATATGTTTAAGTACTTTCTATTTATATTTTAACATCATAAATCGGTAGTTTTCTAAAAGGAACTGATTCTTACTATTTTGCAGGAACTTTTAGCGGGTCACGAATAAGGACTAGGATGATAAAAATCTGCGTTGGTCTAAAGAACAAATTTACATGTATGTGGCCCAAATGCGTGCGGGAGTTTGAGATTTATTAGACGCATCGAGGTAACATCCAGGCTGAGAAAGATCGTTCCGTGACGCAAAGTAGGAAAGCATAATACACACGGAGAGAAGGCGTATACGAGAGCTCGCCGCCGCCGGCACTTTTCTCCTGGCTAATCGTTATGGAAAGTCCGTGGATAATATGGGACATTGTGCACCGTGCGGAATCTCGCGTAGGATCGAAGCTCCGTCGTCGCTGATGCGAGGCAAATTACATACGCAATAAGCTAGGACACGAGGGACGGCTCGCCGATCGAAAATTAAAATACGCGCGAAAATATTCGCGAAATGTCGCGCGATGTAAAGATACCCGCGTGCTCGCGGATATTGCATCTCGGGGGATGTTCTCTCATAAAACTCTGTGCAGGTTGGTCGGCTGATGCGATATCCGGGGACGCTCTCCGAATGTCGGATTCGTAAAAAATTCCTTCGAGTGATTTTCTCTCGGTTCAAGTTTGACCGTCTTGTTGAAAGTCCGGCAGATAATATGGGACGCAGGTAGAATCTCGTAAGATCAGTTCGGCACGTCGACGACATTACTGAGGAAAGGAGTGGTACACCCGGAGCGAGAGGATGGAGGAACGGTCGCTGTAAAGGAGATTGGCGACCTGACGGGGAGAAAGAGCGGGAGAACGAGAGAAGGGAATGCGCGCGAGTGGGATGGAACGCGCCGAGGTGGGCAAGAGAGAGAGAGAGAGAGAGAGACAGAAGAGAAGACCACGGAATGCCCGAGGTGCACGGACTATGGAGCGAGCGAGAGAAAAAGAGGGACGTTCGAGGGACGGCTCGTAATCAAAGGGGCAACTCGCGGCGCGGAAGAAAGTCAGCCTCACCGAGCGGCTCATCAGTCCGGCACGGTGCGGTGTCCCGAATGCACGTCGATCTTCCGCCGCGTGTCGCTGCCTCGTTGCCACGTGATTCCGCACCAGCGATCGCCACGCAAGCCACGCGAACGCGTTCGTTCACCGGGGCTACCGCCTGCCGACTCCGAAATACTTGGATGCATCCGCGATCGATCGACAGTCGATGCGAGACGGTGAGATAGAGCGGTTCATCGCGTTCTCGAGAGAAAATATTCGCTGGATTTCGCTGGAACGCGTGGATGTAGATCGTTGAAGAGTGTGAAAAGGATTTAAAAAATTCCCAGGTCGATCTGATACAGAGGGTATTGCAGGACGAACGAGCGGCGACGACAAATTTATGCAATGCTCACGAGTGACAGATGAATGGTACGTACGTGATTTGATGATTAATATTTAGAAAATTGTGAAAGATTGCGAGAAAATGGAAGGAAATCGTCATAATATCAAGAAGAAAGTCTAATTTTTTTTCTTGCCTAATTTGTCGGTGGATTTGTAGTGAACTAGGCTTTGAAGAAAGTGCGAAGCATTCCAAAAATGCATGTAAGCGAAATACAAAACGATAGCTATAGAAGAAGAATCTACAAAGATATATGTATATACTAAAAGATTATGTTAGCATTCAATTTTTCATCATTTATAACATTGACGATTACATTAACAGTTACTAATACGTGGAAATGTTTATATATTTGAAAATATTATATTTTATCTCTCTATATGCTTCAAAAGACATAATACGCGTCACTTGTTATCAAAAGAATGTTAATTTAATCCATTTAATGTTATATGTGTATATTATATAGATCCTATAAATATTAAATTGCGTTGGACATTTCTAATAATTTTCTCACGATTTTGTTCAAATTAGAATAACGATTAACTTTGAAACGATCTTTTTGCCCAACTAACGAAAGGACGAAAGGTTCCAAATTTCCATTGTAATTAAAAAAGATCTCTCGAAACCAGTTTCAAAATGTAGGTTTACGACAGTGTTCTTCATGATTTTTTGCTTGCACGGTACATTCCCTTATGCATAAATAATTATTCTCAATTTCGTGAAAGTTTCAACCGCGTGCATATCGCTCCGGGTAGGAAGCGTGCGTTGCAAAAGAAATTATTATGCACGCGCTGAACGTGATTATCCGTCGATCGAAGTATAAAGGGAGAAACGAGCGTTTCAACACCGAGGCGAGGATTTCTGGGATAATATCCGAGCGTGAAAGAAAATATTAAAAATAATAATATTAACTTTGAAGATATTTTCAATGAGATAACATCTCATCGGAGTGGATATTGTCAAAATACTTATAATAAAAAGATATAATCAAGGATCATAAAAACGAGATGTCTTTTTACGGACAAAAACTTCGGTCTTTTTCGACGATTGCACATCTCTTCTCGCTATTAAACCGTCTGCTTGAGGTAAACACGCGTCTTCTCGCCACGCATAAATTACGATTTATTGCATACCCCTCTTCGGATACGCGTCGAAATTGACCGTCGTTTCAAGGATCAGCTAGTCCTATCCCAGCGGGATGAGGGACTCGAATAATGAATGGAGCACGTTGTCAAAATTCACGAAGCGTGTCGGGTGGCGAACGCCAACCAGTTGCATAATGCGGCGTATTGCGGCGTCACGTTTATACCGCTGGGAAAATGCGGAATTCCGAAGGCGCGTACAATCCCATTTCGAGCGCAAACATTTCCACGCGTAACATTCGCGGAATAATGCGTTCGCGCGTGACTTCTTAGATTCGTGCAATTTGCATCCCCGTTAAAGCATTCGCGCTCCCGTCGAGTTTGATTATTTCAATTAACGTTCAACATCGGTACGACGTTACGCGCGAGCGATTCAAGCTTGTACGACATTAACCCCGTCGTATCGCGCCGGGCCTCACGTGCATCCGACTCATTATATCGAAGGCTTACCGTGTGGTCATAATAATTATAGTTGCATGTAAATCCTTTCCCACGCGCGAGCGAATGGAATGTATTAATTAGGAGAGGAAAGCGCACGATTGAATTCCTCGTTGTATTCCTCGTTTCTCTCTTCGATTCCTTCTCGCAAAGTGTCGCGAAAGCTTGTTATATTTCGACGAGAGATATATTGTCGAGTATATAAGATCAAGGATTAAACTGACGTCACTGCGAAGCCTGATTGGACGTGTTTGGGAATCGCGGTTCAGCGATATTTTTACGAGGTTTCAAAGTTTGCCCACGCTCGTTGGAGAACCAACGCGGCAGCGGCATATCGAGAATGTGCCGATCGGCCTGCGGCTACGAATTCCGTTACACGCACTTGTACGGCTCCATGAATCTCCCTACACTCTGCCTACTCTGAAATTTTTATGCTTCATCTGCCTCCGTGATTTTCGACGCTGATTTAAATCCATCGTCAGATCTCGGCGCGAAGCGAAATTATCGATTAAATACGCGTCTTACTTGAAGCAACGTAAAGAGAAGGATGTATATATCAGGTCGATATGCGATGTGGCGAAAGACGTAAAATATCGTCGACGATCGCGAATGCAAGATCAATGCGCAAATAATTTGTAAAAATAAACCAACTCACGCTTCCGACAAGTAATAAACTAATTTCAAAGCGGCAATGTGACGTAGGAAATTGTCGTCGATGCGCTCGATTAATTTCGAGCGGTCGCGCGGAACCTTCTTCGAGTATATTCATTTGCCGAATGTCATTGGCTTTAATGTACTGTTATCTCGTGTACAGTAGTACATATTTTGCTCCATCATGGATAATTTGTATCGCTATTAAATTTTTAGTACCAACATTAATTCTCCTTTCTCGTAAGAGATGATCTCAAAAGAGATGAGAAACGTGCACGAATGTGAAACACATACATTCCGCGATCGTCGGAGGAATCTTCGCGATCAGCTGATTGCTCGACAGTGACCTCGCGGGTCAATCTACTTTCTACTTCTCACATTCTGCCGAGATCAGAGGTGATACAGACGACGGGAGGCTGTGCACGATGTTCCTTCGAGTGGAAGCGGACATACTTTCACGACGACGGATGGTATACATATCGTTTAAATTATCGGGGTACTGATGAGTGAAAACGGATGGAGGCGGCGTTGTTCACCTGCCCGCGGGAGAAAAATAAGCAAAGAGATTTATTAGCCGGGATTAACTCGGAGGGTCTTCTTCAAAGAACGTTTATGACAGCCGCGGAGAATCGCGTCGAGAAAAAAAGTTGTCGACGTGGGAAATTGATCTCTCTAATTTACCGGTTTGTATATCTGACAAATGAAGTAAAAGCAGGCAAGGAAAGCTATTCGATTGAGAAAGCTTTAAAGATGTTAATATTCGACAATTGAAAAATTTAATAGCGATTATAAATTATTTACAAGAGAAAGAGAGATATATCGCTGATATATGCGACGGTTTATGATCTTCAAAATATCTGGCGCAGAATGAAGCGAAGCGATGGCCACGAGTGAAGGTCAGCCGCGGCGAAACAAAATGTCAAGCATAACAGAATACAGCTTACAGTTAGCGCATCTCCCCGAGTATACGAAATACTTCGCTTCGCGTGGACTATAATTTATAGCGACACGTGTCCTGCTTGTTTATAATTCACTCCGCCGCTATCTATGCGTAATAGCGCGATTAGTAAAACGGGCAGGTACGACAAGAAACACGAAAGTTCCGTATTAAGTTGGTCACGCGACTAACGCCGGTATGCAGTCTCGAGATCGCTTAACGATCGTCCGCGATCCTCGGCGTTATATGACACGATTTGTCCGTCGGCTGATATCTAATGTCTGCCGATGAACGATGTCGCGTGTCTCGAGAGTAAATGGATATAACTAGAAAATACAAGACGTCTGAGATGCCTCGAGAAGAAACGTTGGAAATCCTCTCATAGCGAAATGTTTTTACCCTCGCGACGATAGACGACTATATCGAGTGTTTTGTTCGAGAAGAAACGTTGGAAATCCTCTCATAGCGAAATGTTTTTACCCTCGCGACGATAGACGACTATATATCGAGTGTTTTGTTACTTTTCTATACATAGATCTAAAAGCAATTCCCCACGAGATATGTAAACTTAAACAGGTTTCGCGCCTATAAAAGAAACCTGTCTCCCGATTACGCCATAGAATTGTCTACAATGATTTGACCTGTTTTCAGGGAGTGGCCGGCATTCCAGCGGAGCGTAAAAATCGACGAGCTTGCGCCATGAATTAAAATCGATACGAAAAATGGACGTCGCCAAGGCCACAACGGAGGACTTTGTGACGGTGGTCAGCGTCGGCAGTCAGCCGACGTCGGAGAATTTCGTGACCGTTCTGTCGATCGGCAACGGGAAGAAGAGCGATGCCGGAGAGTCGTCGGTGTCGTGCAAGAACGAAGGGACGAACGGGATGGACGGACACCTCGAGGAGGAGGTCGAGATTTTCAGGCTGCCCGGGGAACGTCTCGGTTTCGGACTCAAATTCGAGGGCGGAAATAAGACGTCCGAGAGGGTCAGGAGACTGTTCGTGCAAAGCTGCGCGGAGCAGAGTCCGGCCAGCAGAGCCAAGTGTTCGTGGGGCGCTCTAGGCGAGGGAGACGAGGTAATAATAATATATTCCGAGAAAAGTGTTGGATATTTTTTTTTTTCTCTTACTTTCGATCTTCCTATATTTATTTTTCCCGAGAGAAAAGCTGTTAGATACGCGCGAGCAAAGCTTTCTTAATCTTGTTTCTCTCGCGTTAACGAGAGGCTAATAACACCGACCGCTTTCGCTGATATGATATTTCGTGCCGTAACACGCGTATAACGAATTCAAGAAAGTAGCATTCATGAACATGTATGATTTCATTCAATCTTAACGGTACGTGAAATCTATCGCGCGTCATTACGTGTCGCTTTCAATTACGGAACCGACAGGTTCCCTCTTGCAATGGATAAGGATCACAATGACTAGTCGCTAGATTCCTGCTGATATTTCAATGAATCGGTGTAATGACTGACGTGCAATTATTCGCACGCATCGGGCCGCGACGCGCTTGCACCTGTGGCGTAATGTCAGCTTGAATGCATGAGAAAAGGAGAGAAAGGAAAGAAAATCTTTCTCGAATTTACGTGCCCCGACATATTTTTCGCCGAGAAAAAGATTGACTTTAATCGTACAGAGTGTCCGTGTTTTAAAATTAAGGTCGCGAATTGTGGGAATATTAGTATTTACATACTATTTATTATAATATTAATTGTGGGAATAGTATGCGTCTAGCATGTGTATTTACATTTTGTGGAACAGCGGAACAAATTGTAAATACACTCTTCCTCCGGCTCCCACGATGCACTCTGTCATCTATATGATTTTCAAGACCTACTTCCTGCGTAATAACTCTCAGGAATGCTTCCCTCTCATCTCCATTCCTTGTTTACATTGCAAATTATTTGCAGGCAATAATAGAGATAATAAGATTCATCTATTTCGTAGGTACTTTCGATCGACAGTGTACCGGTGACACACATGACCCGATTGGATTGTGTAAGGAGGTTGAAGGAGTCGCAATTGGTCATCAGGCTGATGGTGAGATGCCGCGGCGCTCTCAGACCCGAAGTGGTGAGCGCCGAGAGAAAAATCGAGAGGAACAAAGTGCCGCCGGAACTGCCCGCGGCACCCCCGCCGGTACCGCCGCGGAAGCTGAGACAGCCACGAGGACCCGCAGACGGCGAAGCGAATCCTAGCCCCGTCAAGAAATCGTGGGACAGCCCAAAATCGCCGGCTTCGCAGACCGGAAGCGCGAAAGTAAGCTCGTACGAGAGTTGCGAATCCTCGCCGAGAAGCATCAACGGATCATCGCATCAAGAGATGTCGAAGGAATCACCGAAAAACCGCTCGCCGGAGTTTACGAAATCGAAGCAGGTTGTAATCGAATAAGAAAATAATTTGAAATTTAAAAGTGAAAACTGAATTAAAATATTATACAAAAGATATAAGAAGTTTCCTTCTTCCTTTGAGTGAAAGAGATGTTTGTCCTTCTAGGAACCGCCGGAAGCGATGGTTTATCTGGACGCGCGATCGCAATGCGGCTCCACGCACGGCAGCACGTCCGATGACACCGGCAGCTCCATGTCCACCGTGATGGATAGATTCTCGACGATGTCCGATCGCGTGTCGACCATCTCCACGACGTCCACGGCGTCGACCACCGGCTCCGAACAACCGAGCGAACTCGCGGGCGTCGATCGAGACCCCGAGCGATCCTCGTCCGATCGGGACGTTCTGCTGTCGCGAGCGATCTGTCCACTCGAGATGCTCGAGAGGGACTTTACGAATCCGCCCGATTACCTGCTACGTCGTCTCGCCAATTCCGAGGCGGTGACGCACGTGGAGTCGCGGGGCGAAGTCGAGCGTATCACGGCGGTAGTCGCGCCGAACACGGTGCTAATCGAGGAAACCATCACCCTTCAGCCGCCGCTCAGTTTCCAGGACGCCCCGTTGAGTTACGGACACGAGGCCAGGCCAGATCTCTTCTACACGGCCGACTTGGCCGCCGACTCGACGACGCATTTCAGGCCAATTAAGGATGATGTGGAGCTCGTGGAGCGCGTCAACGGCAGCGTCCATGAGGAGATGCGCGTTTCCGGTACGGAAAGAAGCAACGGTATCAGATTGTCGCCGCCACCGTTGCCGGCTAGAAATCACGTTAATAGGATTTGCGTGAATCAAACGAGCGAATCTGGAAACGACGCGCGAATCTCAGAAACGGTGCCCGTCTCGCCCGAGAAGGAACCTTCGGAAGCTCCTTTGTTACCCCCGAAACCGCTGCCGAGGAAAGACGTTAAGGCTAGACGGAAAAGGCCACCTCCGCCACCTCCACCACCGATTATAACGCCACGAAGAGAAATCAAATCTTCACCATCAATCGAGTCGAATCATCTGGCGGAGACGGAAGATGTTTCGCAAGTCAAGAGCGCAGAGTGCGTTAAACCAGGATTATGCGACTCGTTAAGCAAAAATAACGTTTTCCAAAATTCAACTGAAATTTCAACTGAAGGATTCGAAAATTCAAATGGAAACGGCGACAGAGAATCTAATGCAAAGAACGTTTACCTTGCTGATGAGAAAGTCCAAACTGCAAGTTCTAGTGAAGATACACAAACCAACAAAGTACTTGAAATTATTGAAATCAGGATGGCCAAAGGTTTGAAGTCGAATCAGAAGGAGGAAATCGCAAGGCATGAACCAAATAGTATTTCGGAAACGACGAATTGTGAACAGAATGGAATTAAAGATAAAGTAGCGGATAGAAACAAACAAGATCAATCTCAATCTATGAATAATTCGATTGGAATTTCGACGGAACAAAATTCGAGTTTAGAACCGACAGATAAACACGTTGACGAGTCAAATAACGAAGAGGAAAAGCATTTTGACTCGGAAAATCTTTATCGAGAAGGAATTCGGACAAATGATGACGAGGATATTTTCAAGGAAGTATTTCCGTTAGAAGATACTTTATCGATCGATAATTCTATGCTGCGAGAAAGCGAGGACGACGAAACGTATCGATCATTGGACGAGATAAACGATGATATGAAAAATCCGGATGTGAATCGCATGCTGGAGGAAGTTGTGGAAGAAGGAGACACGACCGATGAAAGCGATGATGGCGATTATTACTGGCAAAGCAATCTCGCCACTATCGGCGAAGAGGAAGAGACTTCCTTGGAGTATGTGAACGCGTGAGTTTGAATTATAAATTCCAATCTTTCAATAGAAAATATTACTCGATTTATTAAGTTTTTTAAATGCAAAAAAAAACAGGATAATCTTACCCTATAAATTTTTTATTTTAAGCTATTTTACAATATTATAGCTATCATAGTATCATATACATCGATATATTGGAGAAGTTTTATTGCAATCATAAAAGTATTAAGTATATTATTAAAACTCGCACAAAAAGATTTAATTACAATTAATAAGATAATTAAAAAATACGACACCAATGTATATTGTAAAAAATTGTGAATTAAATCATTAAAAAAAATCTATCGAATATTTTTCAATATATTTATTCAAATTTAAAGTAGTTTCTTCTAGATCGCTAAATACAAATCTATCTAATTACGCTCATTACAATTCAGAAAGTCTAAATGACAAAGTTGATAAAAATCTGATAGTTGTTTTTAATTTTGACACTTTGTTAATGATTTCGTCATTTTGAGTTTGTCAATGTTGATATCAGATGTCAATATATATTATACTCAGCAATTTGAAAAACTCTTAAATTTAAATAAATATATTAAAAATATTTAATATAAATTTTTAGCACTTTAATTCATAATATTCGTAATAAACTATTCATATTTAATCATAAATATGTTGTTGTAATCGATATTAATAAATACATTTAGAAAGCTAAAAATTTTAGCATATTTAATCTTGGTTACAATAAAATCTCCAATACGTCATATTATAATATCAGAATAGTTTTTTTAGTGAATAAAACAGCACATATCAAAGTTGAAATCTTACTTAATTAAACTGTTGAAAATGATTACTGTTTTTTTTTCTTGAAATATATTATATGAAAGAGAGAAAATCATAATATAACATTCGGGATTTATATCTCTACTTTCTCCATGCATTGCATCTTAGAATCCTCTCGATATTAATGTGCAATACGAATAGCAATTACAGTTGTGTACAAAGCTAATCAGGATAATTCCGCTTATTTGCTTGAGCAAAGTACAGCTAGATGAATCGCTGGGAATTGTGTCGAGAAATATACGACTGTAGAAGCCGTTGCGACGCAGCGCCGCGCGCAAATAAATCTCTAAAAGAAATTAATTCACTTTCCTCATGGGTTACCCGGATTACCTGCCGCGGCATGTGGAGAAAAGGTTAATTGACCGTTCTAAGAATAGGAAAGAGGGCTGTCGATTACTGAGAATCGAACCGAGTCGTTTGACTCGGCCGTCCCACGGAGGTGAACGCCTCCATGCAAATGCTCGACATTTGCTTATTGCTTCGAACAGCAATCTCTCCTTCTTTGCATGACGTTGCAATCACCTTTTTTAAACTTATCTGAATAGCGATTGCCGCTTATTAAAGCTCTCAATAGGTCTCTCCGACGTTAAAATATAACGGGTTATATCATTAATTATTTGTTATGGAGTTTATAGAATTTTTTATTTTTTTATATCACGTGCGAAATGTAACGAAGGATAAACTACAAAGAGCATGGCCATTTCCAAGCAGCCCAAAAGAGATATTTTCTCTGATTTGTTACAGCAACTCAGACGATTCCAGCAAACTGGCGACCGAGCCGGAAGAATCATCTCCCGCAATCAAGAAAGATGCGTTCGTTAAAAACGGTGAGTCTGTTCTACCATATTACTAATTAAGCTTTTAATTAACCCTCAAAATATGATTTGAGTCAATAAAACGCAATTTATCCAATTAACGCAAGAATGCGAGGCCAGCGCGGAACGATTAGAGATCCGCTCGTTAATATCAAAGGCAACAAATCAGGCATTTGTGTCTATTGAGGCTGATTGCGTAGAAAAAAAATTAGCACTGTCGCCAATCGGGGCGATCTTGAACCAATTAATTAATCAATCTCGCTTTCGATGGCATCATATCGTTGACGTCTCATCAAAACGTCCTTTGACTCAAAGTGTCGTCATTATTAATGAGAACGAGAGAACGGGAAATCCTGTGACACACTCGCGGAGGACACCCGGTATACGCGCCCACGCTACCGTGGCACGCCGCCGTCGAGCTTTATAAAGGTTACGCATTAATCACCTTGCGTTACGCGCCGGTATACGGTTCTCCGGTTTCGCGCGGGCGCGAATGCATTCAAAACGGAGGCAGGCCGCGAATCGAGGCAAAGGCGCGCCTTCCTCTCGCCGGGAGAGATTATTATTCACCGACGTGCATTCCGGTATTTTTTTCACGCGGATGACTAGACGTACACGCGCGATTTCTTCTCCGCGATATATGTGTGCAAAACGCACAGTCTTCTACCCGAGACGTCTTTCGGATGCTTGTTCTGTGCTGAACAGATTTTTTATTAGGATAGAGATATTCTAATAACTTTGGCGACACCATTTAAGTATAGATAAGTATAGATTTAAATATAGATAAATATGTTAGCTATTTTTTGCAGCGAAACATAATGCAAATTTTGGTATAAAAACGTTTATCATTTAAATTAAATTATGAAATTAAAAATAAATTGTTAAGAAACTAAAAAGTTTTCAAAAACTGATAAATTTAATTAAAATAAATTTACCTAAACAATACATACACATAAATTCATTAAAAATAAATGCGAGAAAAGCGAGAAATTGCAAGAGATCTTAATCTGAGATCTGAATCGAATGCATTTTCGATTAAAAATTAATGCGTGAGATTCGTCCTTTTTTCTAGAAAAAAATCTAATTTATTTCAATCTAATTTTTCTTAAATAATTCTATCACATTTAATTATATATAATATAGATAAAATAATATTAAATTTAGCTGATTTTGGCTCTATTTTACGTTTCACTATTACACCTTACTTTTATTAATAGATCGAAAAGAAACAATCGCAATTTGTTTTTATCATCAATCTCAGCGTTTAAAACATTTTGAAAAAAACATTATCATATCGTGTCGCCAAAGTTATCGAAATCTCCCCTCATGTGTTCCTTATAATTTCTACATATACTACTTGAAGAAATCTCTCCGCGATTTCCCGTGAATATGGAAGTGCTTATCTGCAATGAGATATTTGCGTAATATCTGCTCTTCGCAAGAACCATTTAGAGAGATACGTTATTACCCCGCTATCGTCTCGTTTCATCATAAATTGTAAGGGAAAAATAAGTATTCTTCTCGTCAATGTAGATCGATGATCGATCGATCGATCGAGAATGGTTATCCCAGCGTAAAAGTACCGGAAATCGTGCACCGAGCGTGTATACGATAGTAATAATTTACATATACGGTGAAGTATATATTATCAAAAGCAATGATATGGCGCATACACGCAGCAATCGCGTAATACATATAGATTCCCTCTTTCATTTTTTTCCACGCGTTTCCTTTCAAGATAGTAGATGCGTACGTACCAGAGAAAAATCCGAAAGGGAACAGAGAAGTTTACTATAATGAGAGAAATTACACGAGAGGGGATAATAAACGTTCGTGCAATAATTAATTTGTACGATATCTTTTTTAGAGACGTATCGCTCGCGCGCGTTACGACATCGGAAACGACTTGCTATAATTTTCCAACGACGAGCTTTCGCTTCCCGCGCGATGTCGACATCGCCTTTATACGGGATCTCTTTCTCTCTTGTCTTTTTTCATCTCCTCTTGCAACGCGAATGGCGCGATTCATGAAGCGAAACGCATACGATAAAGAGTGGATCTCCAACCGAGGAGACTTTACCGTAGCCGGACGCTTTGCGTTAAGCGGAAAATAAGGAAATTCCGCGACCGGCGCTCCTTCACTCGCTCGAACGGGATGAATTCCCGACCCGCCAGGTGGGTGTGAGAACAAAACCGTTAAGAGAATAATTCGAGAATCGCCTAGCAAACGCGAGCTCTCTACACTCGCATCCTCGCGCGCGAGACTCACATTAAACGCGAAAATTTACGGTCAGGTCGATCATCTTTTCCAGCAAGCACCGTCGTTTCTCATTAAATACAGAATCATAAAAATTCGCACGGTATTCATCAGTTATATCAGTTCGAGTTTCTTTTATTTTAATGATAATGTTTTAATCAAAAGCTGTTAAAATTATTCAATTTTTCTCAAATTAAGTTCGAGTTTCTCAATTATTTTATATTCGATTATATTATCATTATACTAAAATTATCTCAATAATATATTGACTAATATAGTGATATTTTTTATTTAAACCGTAGCGTTGCATGCAATGTGTCATCGTATCTTCAATATTGAATAATTAAATGAGATCAAGTCGACAATTCTCAAGAGTTTTCTTAACGATAAATTAATTATATACATATCTAACATTGACATTTCGTGACAACTTCGATCTGGCATCTCGCGCGCGAGCGTCGCACACACCCGTTATAAGAGATGGACACGGCTGATCGCGGGTCCGGCAAAGCTTACCAGTCACAACAATATGGCGGTTGCCCAGCGGTCCCAAGCCGCAGCCTCCGAGTCGTCCAAGCTCTTCCAGTGGCTGACCGCGCTCAAGGTCCCATTCCCCCTTAATCGCCTTCCTTTTCTCGATCTTTCACTTGGTTCACTTCCAATCGAAGAGACGGCGATCTCTGACGCACATACTTGCGTACTGACGTACGTCTGTACGCGCGATCGCAGAAGACGGCATTCCACGACGCGGTCCAACCATCGGACCCTTTGTATGTGCATAGTATACTGGAAGATAACAAACGAGTCGCTGAAACTCATACAAATCTAACTGCCACATCGACATCGACATTTCTCACCGAGAGACAGCCCCTTCGAATTTCTTTAAAGCCAGAATTTCGATCTTGATCGATATGCACGTCATTTTATATCGATTCTCCTTGGAAATGATTTTTAAAGAGAAAGAAACAGAGGGAGAGAGAATAACGTTTATTTATTTAAATTTCAATCATTACTCCAGCAATTATTAGGAAATTGATGACTCGAAGAAAGATACAATGACATGATTGTTTAAGATAGATCGATTCTACGTCGCCTCGAGCGGAATGAAAAATGAGGATCGTTAACGTAACATGCCACTGTGCGATCGCTCGTTATAGATCTTTCGTCTGCGAGGCGATTCGGACGATTCGTTTGTCCGCATTACGCAATTATGCGACCTAAAATTATACAAACGGAAAGTACGTTCCGTAATTTCAGTCGAACCATGCATTAACGACCGGCTCTTAAGAGGATCGACCTTTCCCAGGCAATCTGACGCCCGTTTCAATTTGCGATTGCAAAGGGCGATGATTAGTCTTGACCTTCCCAGGGAAGCTTTCGATCCCGAAGTAATTAGCGGACATTGATACTGCGAAGTGCTTTCTGTTAAATCGTTGATGTGCATAAATTCACCAGACAGCCACCATTTTACTCTATCATCGCGATAAAACAGCCTTAAGATTATTTGCGCGCGATGTCAATTTTAATCTACGATCGTAACGGATCGCAATCTCGGATTACATAGAAAATGATGCGCCATTCAAAACTCAACGGAACATTCGCGGATATGCATACTATGTGCAAAAGCCACAATCAGAGAGATTATTCGCACAGAATAACGGGTCGAAATGAGATATTTGCTAAATTTAAAAATATGAAACAAGAGTAAAATTTTTATCGAAAAGAACTGTTTTTTACATTAATTTTCACATTTCATATTGAAATTTTACATTTTCCAAGATTAATCAATGCGATAATTACGAGACAGCTGATTTCGATTGAATTTTGCGAACGCGATTCACGCGAGAGAATCGGATCATATTTTTTTTTGCCACATTCGTGTCGAAAGAATTCCGCATTCGATCTGACTCGCAAAGTACACTTAATGCGTCCGATCGAACGAACTGCATTCCATCGCGCCAGCTCGAACGGTGCACGCGGTATGAACCCACCTAAAGACGACTCGCCCCGTTCAGGATCGACCGGTATCAACAAATTCAACCGAGTGCTTCTCGCGGCCGTTGAACGTTGAAAATAACGATCGGCGCGGCAAATGGAAATCCGCCGTGAATTATGTCACTTTACGCATTTTAGCAAATTGAAGAGCAGAAAGGCATTCCAGATAGGTATCGGGTCGCGCTTGAGAAAGTCAATATCGAAGAGAATTATAGCGACAGTTATTGTTATTCGTCTGGCATGCGGGAGCGTGTCGGAGAGAAAGAGAGAGAAGAGGACAGACATTTCAGTTCGTCGAGTCAGGTCAGCTGCGGTTTGAAAGGATCTACTATGCGCCTACATAGGCATATCGAATACAAGATCCGAGAGACGACATTCCGTTGCCGGCAACCCGGAAGCGGTCCGCGTGCGGCGACGTCGATATAATTAGTTACGATATGCCTCGTACTTAAGATGCGTAGAGACCGATCCGCAAAGCTGACGAGCGACAGGATTACTTGCACTTTGAAAAAAACGCTAATCGTTCGATCGGAGATAAAGTATAAATAAACGCGCATCGTTACATCTTCTTCTCGCGACGATCGTCTTAACGTAACATGCCCGTTAGTTTACACCCGTTTTTTATGAATCTTTATATAAAATATTTCTACAGTTACAAGTCGGCTTACATAGAGGCAAAACCGATTTGTTATAAAATTCTTAGATGCAGTTACCTCGAATATATAACGGATAATTAAGAAATTAGAAATCTTTTCATCAT